CACACACACACACACACACATAACCTCCTGATCAGTCAGGGAAAGTCCAACGAAACAGTCTGCAACGATCATGGTTTTTGTTTAACGTATAGAGACGACACAAAAAAAAAAAAAAAAGGTGACAGTGTATATTTTCATGTTCTCACGCCGATTCGACGCAACATGCCCAAGCAGTGTGACAACAACAGCCCGCCCCCGTGTTCATCCCCCTCCTCGGTCGCAGCTTGGCTGGGCTGGGTCCACTTGTATGTTGTAGAAACAATATTTTAAAACTATCAAATTAAATAACGTGAAGTTATTGTGATCAAATTAATCCAATAATTAATAAATATTCAAAAATAAATAAAATTGAAAATAAAATTTAATCAATACTCCATGGAATAAAGATTAACCACTGAGTAGAAGGCAAGTTGGTAGGCAGAAGTACACTTATGGAGATGACACCCGAAGCATAGCAGATTATGAGAGAAGCCCCGTTCTTTTTTTCTTAACCTGAGACCCCCCCCCCTTTCACCTCTCTATATTCCCTGGCGCACCCCCACCTCCCTTCTATCCTACCTCACTCGATGATTATCACTCTACGTGGAGCAACTTGACCAGACAACGGCCATGGGCATCACTGCTGATCTGGAACCCCTTCCAGCCCTGGTTGAGGCGCTGTCACACGACCCTCGTCGCACAGGTACCTCGGGAGCTACGCATGAATCTATTACTACCAGCTTTGTGAGTCCCTATGGGTGGCCCGTAATCTTCCTCCAAATCTTACACTTGGATATTCTTATCATACAAGCTCTAGGTATCACAGGCAGTGTCTAATGCCTCCCCCTAGCCAAGGTCTAACCCTTGACACCCCGCAGAAGCCCATGGTATACCCACCCAGCACAGCTCCAAGTTCAAATCTGACTTGCACCAAACTTGAAAAACAAGACACTGTTATGATCCTGGTCATTCCCAAAGTGCTAATTCACAATGAAAGACCATGCCACCCAATTGCGAAAGAAATGAAAGCACTTGCAAAAAGATAGAGACCAGAGAAGAGAGAAAGAAGAAGAAGAAGAAGAAGACATAGATGTACACCAGCAAGACCAATGACAAATCCCCCTTCTCTCTCCACCTTCCTCCTCGTCCTTCACTTCTCCGATCTTATTCTTCTTCCCAATAATAATAATAACAATGAGTGGATGAACCAGAATCAATATCCGAAGTTCCCTCTTACTGTTGACACAACAACAACCACAACAGGTCCACCATAGCTATGGCTTCCCCCCTTCTTCCACTTCTCACAAGCCTAGGCTATGGCGGACAGCTGAGGGCTCTGCCCCTCTCTGTGCAAAGCACAACACAAAGCAGCTATGGCGCTGCACTCCTGTCCAAAGGACAACCCTAAGCAGCTATGCCGCTGCTGACTAAGCCGCCATGCCTGACTCTGCCTCGAGCTTCCTTGGTGCGGCACTACCCCAACTGGGGCCTTCCAGATGCAGCGCCCAACAAGGTGATGAAGATGGTGTCCACCATAGCCAGGTAGGCACCTCGCCACTCTCCTCCTTCGCCCTTTTCTTCCTCCTCCGCAGGCTGGGCTGCTCGCCATAGCCAGGTTGAGCACCCAGCTGCCCTTCACCTCCAGGCAGCGCTGTACCAGTCCAGCGTTTGGCTCAGCAACATGTCGCCAACCCTTGCATACCGCAAATAAGGAGGAGCTACTTGCTCCTCCGGAAGATATAGCGGCCTACTGGCCTCTTGGGCGGTGACTTCCTAGGCCGAGCGGCCTCCCAGCAACCGGTACCTCCTCCCTTTCAGAGGGAAACATCATTGCAGGCTCTGCTATCGTCCAGACAGGCCCTAGACCTGGGCTACTTGGACTGGTACCGGCCTACCTCTAACCTACCGCTACTGGGCCTCTAAATGCCAACTTTTTGTCTTCTTCTGCTCGGCCTCCAGTACCCGACATTTCTACCACTGCTTGAATGGTACCGGCCTACCTGCTACTTGAGTGTTTTTCCCTGCTGCTCATAAGTGTCGCGGGCCTACCCCCGCTACTTGAGTGTTTTCCCCGCTGCAACCCTCAAAGTCACAGCCACAGGTAAGTACCGGCCCTGCGGGGCCTTTCAACCAACAAGTACCCTTGCGGGTCACACACACACTCAGCCTTCAAGCACTCAGACAGGCATGCAAACCAGCAGGCACGCACACACACACAGACATGGAAACCACAGCAGAATGCGGGAATCTCAGCAAGGCATTCATTCCAGCGGCAAATCCCAGAAATCAGCAGTGTTCTCAGTCTGTGTTTTTGGCGGGTCATTACAACACAAAAGTTCTTCTTCTTGTTCTTACTTCACGCTCGGGTCAGGTCCCGGGTTCAAATCTCCCTGAGCCGAACCCTCCCTGTGGCTCAGTTCAAAGGCTCTTGAGAACCTATTAGCAAGTCTGCAAACTAAGAATGGACTCCATCAACAATACAGACATCTAGTGTATGCTTACGTTGAGGTCCCAGGTTCAAATCCGACTTGCAGCAAACTTGAAAAACAAGACAAAAAAGTTCTTCTTTTTACTTCACGCTCGGGTTAGGTCCCGGGTTCAAATCCCCTGAGCCCAACCCTCCCTCTGCCTCAGTCCAAAGGCTCTTGAGAACCTTTTAGCAAGTCTGCAAACTGAGATTGGACTACATGAACAATACAGACATCTAGTATGCAAAATATACAGTAACTCCTCCAACAACGGGAGTCACTGTATCTGACACTTCTTTTACGTGACCTTTCCCGGAGAAGGATTGAGTTTTTCATGAGTGAAGTGAGACCCATGATGTTGTATTCAAGTCAGTATACAATACAAATACCTCGTGGATTCTCAAAAGCGTAATGTGGATTATTAATGTGCACATTTTTCTGGTCCTGTGGTTGGTTGTAATGCCTTTTCCAGTCCTGCATCAAGGTGGCGCTTGACTTTGTCTCACCGGAAAATGTCCAGGAGTGCATACGCTTGTGTGAAGACTATAGGGATTTGCCGGATGGTCATCGAGCTAAGGAAGACAAGCTTGAGGTGATTTTACTATTCTTGAGTCTTGACATTTCCTGACACACGGTTACCGGAGGGCCAAAAATTTGCTGTTTTTCGCCGACAGTTTCGGTGCAAAATTCAGGGAGAATTTCAAAAACAAACTATATGGCCCAAAGTGCAAACATCAGAAAAACAAACAGGCCAAAGAAAACGAACAAAAAAAAAACAGAAAAAAAAACCATCTAAATTTCTAAAACCTAACACTGAAACACTTTTTGAGTTAAAATGAACCATTCAACGAATCCAACGGAATGCCAACTCTTTCATTATTGATCCAAACATGTCAAAACCGGACACATGACGTACCCTAAAGCACCTCCATATCACAAAAAAAAAAAAACAAGAAAAAAGCAAAAAATCAGGGCAATATGACAGTTTCAGTCCAAAATTCGGCAAAAAAAAAACACCCCCGGTTACTTCAACGATGTATTGGGAGGTTTTCAACTGGAACTATGTAATGGAAAGTTTTCAACTGGAACCATGTGGTGGGAAGTTTCAACTGGAACTCTGTAAAAGGATGGGAAATTATATTGCTCAATGGATGATCACCATTTGCCATGAAACCCAAAACATAGTCTCAAATGTGGGTTTCCCCACTCCCGATTTTCTCTCTCTCTCTCTCTCTCTCTCTCTCTCTCTCTCTCTCTCTCTCTCTCTCTCTCTCTCTCTCTCTCTCTCTCTC